ATGTATTTATTTATTAGGTTTACAATGTTCTGCCTGTATGTACACCTACATACCAGAAGAGGGCACCAGATCTCATTATAGATGGTGTGAGCCACCTTGTGGTTGCTGGAAATTGAACTCAGGACCTTTGGAAGAACAGCCAGTGCCCTTAACCCCTGAGATGTCTCCCCAGCCCAGTTGAGAGACTTTTAAAAAAATACTTATTTATTGTTGTTATTTGTTTACTTTTATATTTATTGAGATTAAGTACCATTCTGTAGCTCAGACCATCGTGGAATGTCATGTAGTCCAAACTGGCCTTGAATTTGGTCCTCCTGCCTCAACTTCCCAGTATTGAGATTACAGGTGTGTGAAACTGTCTGGCAGGATTTGTTCCTTTGAAACAGGGTTTCACTGTACAGCCTAGACTGGTGTGCAGCGCTCAGCAATCCTCCTTCCTGCCTCAGCCTCCAAGAAGAGACAGGGTCTGACTGTGTAGCCTTGGCTGGCCTAAACTTGCTTTGTACACTAGGCTAGCCTGGAACTCACAGAGCTCTATCTGCCTCTGCCTTCCACGTGTTAGTATTAAAGGAGTACTCCATCACACCCAGAAAAAGGGTGTTTTATTTGTATATGTCTGAGTGTGTTGCCTGCATGCATGTCTATGCACATGTACCTAGCACTCAAGAGCTCAGAAGATAGCATGGAGACCCTTGGAACAAGAGCAGTGAGCACTGTGTGCAGCTGAGCCGTCTCTCCAGCCTCCAAAAGGAGGTTTGAAATGTGTTGTTGTGTTGGGTTTGTGTTTGAGACAGGCTATCTTTATGTTGTCCTTGCACACACTGTGTAGACTAGGCTGGCCTTGAACTCACAGACATCTGCCTGCCTCCACCTTGGTATGTTCCTGATGAGTGTGCTTCTTGGCTTTCTGTTGCCTGGATGAGGAGTGGGCCATGCATTTACCTTGTGTGGCTAGAGCCTTGGGGTTTAGGGGGTACTGTGAATTTCTTCAGCCTTGACATTTTCTCTCCTCTTCATTTCTGGTACTTTAGCAGATGTTGTAGTTTGAGTTTGCATTTCCCTGCCTGCTGATGACTTGAGGATCCTTTCCTGTGCTTATTAGCCGTTCCAGTGGCATCTTAGAGACACAGCGCTTGAGTTAAGGTGTGGTCTGAAGTGCTGGAATTCGAGACATGAGGGTGGGCTTGTGGCATTTGTCACTGTGGGTGTCTGAGTGTGGTGGAGGGCAGTCCTGTTATCAGGAGTCCTGATAATTAAACACTTTACCCAGAGTCACATATGTAACACTCTTTACTGCCGTGCAATTACCAGCGTCATTAGTGAGTAGACAGAACACTCCAGGCCTGCTTAGGCTGGTTACAGATAAAACGAAAGTAATGCTTCTCCCGTGTGTCACTCCAGAGTTCCTGAGTGTGCACCATAAACTCTAGTTGAGGTGATCTTTTGGCATTTAGGGGGGAAAAGGGCACTATCGGGTCTTGTTTGTTTTTAACTTATTTGATTATGATGCGTCTGTGAGTATGCACACTTGCTATAGTGTAGGGGTCGGAGGACAGCTTAGGTGGTCAGAAGCTGTTTGTCTTACCAGTCCCTGGTCATCTTCCTGACTTGGTTGCTATTTCAAGAAAGCTTTCTTGGAAATGCTTTCTAGAGAACAAACCTGACTTGTGGCAGCCTTTCAGAATTGGACTCATGCGTGATGCGCCCTGGCCATTTGTCATCTCAGTCCGGAGCGCGGAATTTACCCTCAGACTTGCAGGCGTTGCCTTCCCATGGGAGCCCAGGTAGGCGCCACCGCTTTCCTGGGAAATGAGTTCTAGGTTTCAGGACTTTGTGAAATGCAATCAGGTGGAGCAAGCCCCTGCGTTTGGCTTTCTTCAAGTGATGTTTTGAGATGCATGTGTTGCTTGCGTGAGCAGTTTTCCTTTGTGGTTGTTGAGTGGCATTGTTACATGAACCATTTGTGGGTCCATTCTGCTGTTGGGTGTCTGTTAGGAAGCCACGAGCTCCCATGTGTCTGCTCTAGGTAGCTCCCACTGCCTTTTCCTTTGTTCCTTCTCTTAGTGGTTTGAGATTAGAGCTTCATACATGCTAGACACACACTCTACCACTGAACTAACTCTTGCCTTTTGACTTTGGAATAGGCTCTCTCACTCTGCATCCCAGGCAGGCCTGGAGCTTATGGTCTTCTCTTGTCTCCACTTCCTCAGTGGCTGGCATTCTAGGCCTGTACCATCACTGAGCCTGCCTATGTCAGAACAGTACGTGTAGAGCTCTTGTCATAGTCTTTGTCAATAGAGTTAGGGACAGTTGGGACAAAAGTGGAGTTAAACTGGCTGTGTAAAGAAACTCCAACACAAAAGAGCCACTCAGAGCGCTCATCACCAGCCACCAGGTCACTGCCAGGTCCCGAGAGTGTCTGAATCAAGGTTCCCTGGTTGAAGTGCACAGGCTCAAGTCTGCCTGTGGCAGGGTACTGCCCGCTAGTGCTTTAGTCAGTCACCTCTTCGCTGTGTGGGTCCTCTGATTAGCGGAGGGCCACTACTGTTACCGCTTTCATTGTCCATTTAATTCCTGAGAGGACACTGACGAATAGATGGGCTCACAGGAAGGGCTTGTGCTTTTCTTGGGTTTTTGTTTTTGTTTTTTTGGAAGGGGGGTGGCTTCCAAACTTCTGTAGCCTAGGAAGTAAGAGGAATTTTTCTCTTTAAGATTTTACCCTGTTTTTTTGAGACAGGGCTGATTTTTTTAAGCCTGACTTTGAACTGGTCCTCCTGCCTCCACTTCTGAAGTGCTGGGATTACAAGTGTATACCATCATCACACCAGCTTCAGAGTTGAAATTTAAGAAAGTGTTTTAAAGGGCTGGAGAGATGGTTCAACAGCTCAAAGTGGTGGCTGCCCTTGCAGAGGAGCCAGTAGCTTCATAGTAGCTGCAGTTATCTGTAACTCCAGTTCCAGGGCATCTATTGTCCTGTTCTGACCTCAGTGGGTACCAGGAACTCATATGCTACACAGGCATACATGCAGGCAAAACAGCCATTCACATATTAAGGGGGGGGGTTCATATAGATATAATTACAGGCATTAGAACCAGGAGTGGCTCGACAGGTCTTCAGTTCCAGCATTCACAGGTCAGGGCAGAGGCATGAGGATAGCCTGGACCACATTTCCAGGACAGCTGGACTGCATAGTGAGACACTATCTTGGGGGGGGGGGGGGGGGGGGGGGGAGACGGGAAGAGAAGATTCCCAGCCAAATTGTGGTTATAGGGTTTTCTGAGACCATGCCCATCTTAGAGGATTCTGCCTCCAAGAGGAACCTGTAGCTTTGAGACCCCAAGATCATGGGTGTTGGTGTGAAAGAGGTAAGAGAGAAGAAGTTGGTCTCAAAACCTGAAATGTGCAGTGCAAAACAGGAGCCACTGGAGTTATTTAAGGAAAGGGCAGGGCATTTATTCCTTTACTGTGGGGGAGTTAGGTTGTTTGCAAGAAATCTGTTGGAAGTGCTGTAAAAGGAACTTTCATCCTCCTGTCTCAGTTGTTGTCTGGAAGGCATACTTTTTTCGTCTGCTACCTTAGGCCTAGTCCTGGAAGCTTCTAAAGTCCGTACAGTCTAACCTAGGCCTTTCTGAGACTCAACTGCTGAGTAAGCTCACACTTTTTAGTTCTTACTGAGCTCTGGGCTCACTGGTTCAACTCACATATTCCAGCTCAGACTCCTCCCCCAGCTAACTTAATATGGCTTTTCTCTCAGCCAGTGAATTGCTCTCCTTGGCCTCAAACTAACTCCAGCAATCTTTTCTAATCTTCTGATTCCTTCTCATTCTCTGGCTTGTCTTCACCTCTGTTTTTTCTCTGCCACCTATGTCTATTACTGTCCCAGTAAAATTGCCTCCTCTCTCTATATTGCCCCGTAAGTAGCTTCCCTTTCTTCTCATGAGAGTTAGGCATATCCTATTCTGTCAAATCTTCTCTGAATTGTTACTTTCTGTGTCACTCAGACTTCACTTTGGGACGTATGCTTCCTTCTACAAACTAGCTTTACCTTCATTGCTTGGGATTAATGGCGTGTACCACTATGCATGTACCTAATTTTCTTTTTTACCTGAAACTTGCTCTATACTAGGCTGGAATACAAAAACGCCATTGTTTTTGTATTCACAGACCTAGAAGGCCTTTGGATATGATCTCTTACAGAAAAGCCATGTTCTGAATTAAAATTCCTCTACAAAGGAAACTGTTTTAAAAAACAGTTAGAAAAAACAGTTTGATAAATCAGTTGAACTTGTTTTGTATAAAGAGACATCTCTGATTTTTAACTAGCTTTCTCCTTAGAGACTGATTTCCATGAGGCTGAATGTTAGTATGAAGGCCTAGTTTGTACCTAAATATAGATATTGGTGAAGCCTTAGGTCTCTTGGTGGCTTTTGTGATACAGTGAAGGAAACGGGCATCCAGTGCGGGAGCTGGATAGAGGCCAGGAGAAGGATTCTCCAGTGCTAAAATGTTTAGGTTGTTAGCCTTTGTTCAAGGAAAGGAAGCTTAGCTCCTATTCAGGTCTTGCTGGGAACTACGCCTGGAAAACATTTGATTTTCTTTTCTTTTTTTTTTTTTCTTGTTTGTTTTATACTTTTTATTTTCTAATGGCTGGTCTGAGTACTGTTTCCCTCTGAGTAGCTCTCTGTCTCTCTCTTTGTCCCTCTCTTCTATCTTTTTGGGGTGAAGTCAGGGGCTGTCTCATGTAACCTGGTCGCCCCTTGAACGTTCTGTGTAGCTAGAGCTAGCCCTGAGGTTGTACTCCTACCTCCCAAGTGCTGGGTTCTCAGGTGTGTTATATTATGCCTGGCTGGTTTCATAGGAAATACTTCCTGTGTGGGGTTGCTCGTTAAATGACTTGGTGTACGTTGTGGCTGGGAGAGCCCTGTGTCCTCACTCTGTGGGGATGCTCAGGCCTCTGGCAGTAGCAGACATGAACTGACCGTCAGTGTTTGTTTTCTAGGTGCACTTTCAGGTTTCCGAGCACAAACATCAAGATAACTTTCACAGCCCTATCCAGTGAGAAAAGAGAGAAGCAGGAAGCGCCTGAGTCGCCAGTCAAGCCTGTGCAGCCACACATCTCACCGCTGACCATCAACATTCCAGACACCATGGCCCACCTCATCAGCCCTCTCCCCTCCCCCACAGGAACTATCAGGTACCCAGAGGCTGAAGGGGGCACGTTCACAGGTCTTTAGTCACATAGGCGCACCCAGAGTGGCCCTGTCTGTCGCACTGCAGTGGTTACCAGGAGTCTGCTCAGAGGTTCTGTGTTGTGAATTGTAATTCTCACATGTTGGTAGGTTTCAGGATTCCTGTTTTGTGTATGTCCCTTTGGGTTTGTTGCACCAGGGCCATTTCTGTGCCCTTGGGATTGGAATTACCCTTTCGAGTCTGCTGGGCACAGCTGTGGTTACATAACTGCAGGCAGCTGCTCTCTTCCCAGTCTTCTGAGTTACTGTAATCCAGAGGTGAGGGCTACGCTCCCACGAGCCCCTCCACCACTGTGAGTGATGGTGAAGAGGCCTTACCCTGTGCAGAGTTTATGATTCCATTGATTGTGTTGTGTCTAGAATTTGGAGTTTCACTGCCCTTGCCTGTCTTCCATCTCGTTCCCTGAGCCTTAGAGGGAATAGTGTAAATGACTTATTTTTGACTGAATCTTCATCTATCACTATTCTCAGAATTGTGGGCATCCGTGAGTTTCTTCATTTACTGGGGGCAAGAGCTTGAAGAAAGCTGTGGTGGCAGCAGGAGGTGGAGCTGGACGGTTTGAGGTCTCTTAACGCTGATGATGACCTCCTTTCCTTCCTCCTGCCTGCCTGCCTTCTTGCCTGCCTTCCTGCCTTTTTTCCTTCCTCCCTCCCTCCCTGCCTGCCTGCCTGCCTGTCTACCTCCCTACCTCATTGTGTATGGCCCTGCCTCCCTGGCTGGACTGGAATTTGCCATGGGGACCAGCTGGCCTGGAACTCACAGAGATCCACCCTGCTTCTGGATCCCAGCTCCAAGTTTAGCTCTGATTTTTAGGGGGTTGGGCTGGTTCTTTGAGACAGGGTTTCTCTGTTTCCCAAGTGTTAGGATTAAAGGCAAGGGCTACTGCTGCTCAACTTGTTTCCATTTTTTATTTTGTTTGTTTGTTTTTGAAACAGGGTTTCTCTGTGTAGCCCTGGCTGTTCTGGAACTTGCTCTGATGCGCCTGCCTCTGCCTCTGAGTGCTGAGATTAAAGGCATGCATCACCACCAACCAGCTTCTGTTTACATTTTTAAAGTGTATGTTTTCATTGAAGAGCTAACAGTTATATTTCTTCCAAATCTCCTCCCAGACTGAGAGTGAATGAGTCTCTAGGCACCATACTCAAAGCTGAAATTCAAAATTTTAAGGGGCTAGAGAGATCATCCTTCAAGAGCACTTTCTGTGCTTGCAGATGGGCCCAGACTCAGTTCCCAGCACCACATCCCAGCTCACAAACATCTAATTTTAGTTCCAGGAAATCTAACCCTTCTTGGTCTTCATAGGCACCAGGCGCGCGCGCACTCTCACACACATACACACACACACATACACACACGTAAATACTTCAAATATGTAACATAAATCTTCTAAACATTTTTTTTTTAAGTTTGCAGCTGAAGAAATGACTCAGTAAAAGACCACTGGCCACTTTTCCAGAGGATCGAGGTTCAAGTCCCAACATCCACATAGCAGCTCACAGCCGTCTGTAACTCGAGCCCCAGATCCGATGCCCTCACACAGACATACATGCAGGCAGAACACCAGTGCATAGAAGATTAAAAACAAATTAAGTTCATGTTTGCTGTGATGGCTTACTTTTTCTGGTAAAATGAATGAAACACTGCCTTCCTACAGTTCGTCTTGGTAGTTGCATTTCCTGACACATTTGCTGCTGAAGCAATCTCAAATGCCACAAAGAATTCCTAGGCGTACATTTTCCCTTTAGGAAATACTGCTTACTAGTCTCAATTTTTTTGTTTGTTTGTTTGGTTGGTTGGTTTTTTTGTTGATAGGATTTCTCTGAGTCTGGGCTTGCTTTGTAGACCAGGCTGGCCTCAAATTCACAGAGATCCGCCTGCCTCTTCCTCCCTGAGTGTTGGGATTACAGGTGTGCACCACCGCTCCCGGTTTATTCTTGACCTTTTTCAGATTATCCAGACACATAGCACACACAGCACACACAATCCCAGTACTTTAGAAACTAAGGCCAGAAAATTGTCGCACACTTAAGACCAGCCTGCAGTACAGAATGAAGTGCTGTAACTAGAAAAATGTCATTCTGGCTTCAGGAGATCCAACACCGTATTTAAACCCACACATACCACACATGCAGGAAAAGCACATACAATAATAAATAAATAAATCCTTAAAAAAGAAATGTTTTTCCCCCTAATCTCTGATCTTAATTGAAGAACAATATTCTATTGTCTTAAAGTAGACTCTTTCCCTCTTTCACAGTGCTGCAAACTCCTGCCCATCTAGTCCCCGGGGAGCAGGGTCTTCAGGGTACAAAATGGGCCGTGTGATACCATCTGACCTCAGTTTAATGGCTGACAATTCACAGCCAGAAAATGAAAAGGAAGCTTCGGGTGGAGACAGCCCAAAGGTAAATGTTTTATTTTTATTGTCTTGTGCCTGGACCTGGGGGATATTATGTAGACACTGGTCACAAGTCTTTTTGGGAATACCATGCTGTTTTGGTTAAGTTCTCTGTTGGTAGGATAAAACACTGACCGAAAGCAGCTTGGGGGAGGAAAGGGTTTGTTTGTCTTTTTTCTGTATAAAGTTCATGGCTGAGGAAGGTCAGGGCAGTAGCCAGCAGCTGGAACTAAGGCAGAAACCCTGGAGAGGAAGGATGCTTGCCTGCTTAGACAGCGCAAGATGGCTGCCCAGGGCAGCCTGCTCACTGTGGGGTGCCCCTCACACCGGTAATTCATGAGAAAGTGCGCCCTCGTCAGCGCTCTCAGGGCACTCTGATAGTGGCCGCTCTTCAGCTGAGGCTTCCATGTCCCTGTTGAGCTTACCTTACTCAAGTGGATACAGCTAACCAGCACCTCATGTGAGTGTAGCAGGCATCTGTGTGTTTCACCTGGTGTTGCTCTGAGTGCGCCGTAAGTATCAGGGCTCGCAGTTCACACATGAGGGCCGCTGGGCAGTGTAGGCATAGTGCTGGTAGCTGATCATATGAAGTTGTTAGTGACACAGAAGTCTGTGGTTGTGCTGTCAAGTAAGAAAAAGAGCAGCTGCATACTGTTACCTCTGTATGTCTTTGTATAGCGTACCTTGTGCACACAGAGCCGTTCCTAAGTGCTGGATTGAAACATCACAGTGGAAATGTGACGGCTCTAATGCCAGAGCTAACAGTGCTCTCTGGGAGGCAGGAGTGGTAGACTGAGGGCCTTGCAGCAGCTGCTGGGTCCCTGGCTATACTCATGTTTACTTTGCAAAATTCGTTTTACCCCTGTATATTCTGAACATTTTCTATGTTGAGTCATTTAAAAACTAAAAAAAACAACAGACATTATTATGCCCACTTTGGTGGCATACACCTTCATTTTTTTTGTTGTTCTTGAGACAGATGTTCTTTGTGTAGCCTGTCTGCCTCTGCCTTGGAGGCACACCACTTTAGTTTCAGCGTATGGGAAAAGAGACAGGAGGATCTCTTGAGTTCCAGGCCATCCTAGTTTACATAGCAAGTTTCAGGCCATTGGAGGTATATAGAGACTTTGTTTCTAAAAAACAAAAACAGCATTTTTAAGGCCATCAAAATAACTTAGAACATGGAGGTGCTGTTATAAGCCTGACGCTCTGAGTCTGGTTCCTGGGATCCAAATAGTGGAAGAGGAGAATTGACTCCCGGAACAAATGAAAACATGCCTAGAAACAGTAAGAAAAGTGCCCTAGGAGGTTCACTGGCCGCCTGAGCAGGGATGGAGGCTCCAACCTCTAAGTCAGGCACATGGTGCAAGGACAGCTGCTCAGCCACTTCCTGGACTCAGGTACTTGTTACTCCTGTTCTTTTCCTAGAACCTTGGAGTGTACTGCTGTGGGTGCTTAGGCAGAGCCTTTTGTGGCCCAAGAGATAGCAGAATGTTTTCCGTGTAAGGTGGGCTGTGGGCGTCTTCTGGATGCTGGCATCGGTTGGGTGGTTAAGGTTTTCCATTTGGAGAATTGAGAAACATCACTGTGCCATCAGCTTACAGGACAGAACAAAGCGGCTCCGTTTTTGCCGGCTCCGTCCTCTATGCCTCTGATACTACCCTTACCCCTGAGTGCATCTCTAGGGAGCTGTGCTCTTTTAATTAATTAATTTAATCTCTTTACATCCTGAACCCAGCCCCCTTCCTCCTCTCCTTCAGCCCCACCCTCATGTCCCAAGATGGAGTTCTTATTCTTGAGGTGTTTTTTGAGAGAAGATCTTATTCTGCAGGCTGGTCATAAACTCACTTAGTAGCACAGTAATGGTTTGTTTTAAAACTGTAAATTTTAAAAAGAAAAGGCAGGGTTGGGGAAGAGTCTGGATACATGACTTAGCAGTTAAGAATACTAGCTAGCTGCTCTTCAAAGGACCTGGGCTTAAATCTCAGCACCCACTGTAACTACCATTCTGAGGGGATCCGACTCTCTTTTTTGTCCTACATGGCACTACCTGCACCTGGTGTATAGCTATACATTCAGGTAAAACACCCACATACTAAGTAAATAAAAATATATGAACAATAAATGTATATGAACAATATACATTCTTGTAGTGCTGGTGATCAAACCCAGGCCTGTGCTGAAGAGCTTTGAATAAGTGCTATCATTTAAATATACTCTATTGCACAGTGCCTCTTTTAGTTTATATTTCACAGTGCTGGTACGAATTTTCCAGAAGTTCATGTAGGAACGAGGAACTCTATTTTCAGAGGCTCATACTGTGCATGTGGGATTTTGATATGTAGAAAAACTGGAAGCCGAGTGAGCAGTGATTCTGTGTTTGGCTCTTTCATAGGCATACCCACACGTGGAGAGCGCTGACAGTAGATGGGTACTTGGACAGTTGTGCCGCAAGTGCTCTTGTGACCTCTGGTGTGTGGGAAAATCCCGTCAGCTCTGTATCACACCTGGACATGCCAGTTCTTCTCTGTGTCACAGGACGCTCCTTGACATATATTGCTCTGGACTCCTAAAGTCCAGTGGCTTTGCTCAGTTTTATTTTTTTGGTCATTTGTTTGTTTGTGTTTTGAGACAGGTTTTTATCTATAGCCCTGGCTGTTCTAGAACTTACTGCATAGACCAGGCTGGCCTCGAACTCAGAGCTAGCTGCCTGCTTCTCCTTCTGTTTCTGAGTGCTGGGATTAAAGGAGTGCTGACCGGTTCTGTATGTGATTTTTAATCTCTCTATGCTGTTCTACAGTTTTTCCATTTACTTTTCTCAAGTTTTTTCAGTTTTATCACTTTTATAATAAAAGGACACCTAAAGTATTCTTTGAATCTTAGGTTTTGTTTTTGTTGATACAGGATGACTCAAAGCCCCCTTACTCCTATGCACAGTTGATAGTCCAAGCAATTACAGTGGCTCCTGATAAACAACTCACCCTGAACGGGATCTATACGCACATCACTAAGAACTACCCCTACTACAGGACGGCAGACAAGGGCTGGCAGGTAAGTTCACTTCGGCTTGCTGTCGGTGCTGCCGTTTCTAGCCGGGATGTACACTGGAGAGGTCGTTATGGAGAAGTCGTCACTGAGAGAACCCTAGGCTTGATAGTGCCTGCTTTTTAGGACAGAAAGTGCAGCAGTTCTGGAGAAAACGGAAACTAATGCTTTCACTGTCTGGGAAATAAGGTTTTCCCTGAGATGCATAAAGCCTAGGATGTTTTCATTTCTGTATGTTGGATATGTTGGATAATTTTAAACTGAAGTCCATTCTCTCCTTTCATATTCGTCCACCTCTGCTTCAGGAAACAGGAACTTCACATTTCACAGAGACTGTGCGAACTGTTTTCCTGAGGTTGTCCTAACGTGTTGAGAATACGTTTTTCCTCTTGGCCTGTGTGTAGTGCAGAGATAAAGACGCCGAGCTGCACCATCAGCTGTCCTGTGGCCCTCAGCCTCTTCACAGGGGTGCTGCTCTAGGCTGGCTTTCTCTGGAAGGTCTGCTTGGGTTTTGTGGTTTGTTTTGTTTTGTTTTGTTGTTTGTTTTTGAGAAAGGACCTCACTGTGTAGCTCTCTGCCTGTCTTGAAACTCACTGTGTAGACCAGGCTGGCCTTGAGCTGAGAGGGCTCTGCCTGGCTCTGGCTCAAGTGCAGGGATTAAAGGTGTGCAGCATATCCACGATCCTCAGCCTTTCTCTTGGTGGCTGCCATGTGCTGCCGTTTACTGGATGTGCTAGAGAACATTGGAAATTGATGTGGTTTGGGGACGGCTAAGTTTGGAATACAGAATGTTAACAAACAACAGAAAACAAGAACTGTATTGTGATTTATTTTTTTTTTTTTCATTTATAAAATAACCAGGAATGCCAGCAGCATTATTTTGGGGCTTTGATTTGATGAATAAGGATCATTTTTAAAAATGTCCAGTTGAGATTATAATGTGTGGGGGATGATTTTTCTCTTTATTGAAGGGGGGGAACACTTTTTAAAAATTCTGCTCTTGGGGCTGGAGAGATGGCTCAGAGGTTAAGAGCACTGGCTGCTCTTCCAAAAGGACCTGAGTTTAATTCCCAGCACCCGCATGGTGGCTGATAACCATCTGTAGTGAGATGTGGTGTGCTGATACACATGCAAGCAGAATGATGTATAAATAATAAATAAATAAACTTGAAAGAAATTCTGCTCTTGAACAGTCAGGCTGGTCTTGAACTCACAGAGCTCTGCCTGCCTCTGCCTCAGTGCTGTGACTAGACGTGTTACTACTACCGTGCTCGGCTCTATAAACCCTTTTACCTGCTGGTACATAAACGTGTTGAAACTAAATTCTTGCTGTTGAGTTTTATAGGGTCTTTAATCATACAAGGTACAAAGTAAGACCCTCTTCTTTCCTGCCTTCCCTTCCTGTGCTTTTGTAGGAAGCCACTGGATTTGGAGAACATTGCCATGTTCTCATCTGTGTCAAGGGCCTTAACGTAGACATACTAAATTCCATTAAATTTAATAATTTAATTAAAAAATGACAGTTTTTCTAATCTAAGAATAGGCTGTGGGCTTGAGACGTCACTCCTCTGTAGGCCAGTTGCCCAGAGCTTTCCTGCTCCCACAGACTGAACACTACGATAATTTTCAAAAGCCGCGAAGAACATTGACTTTATCCACTCTGTCCCATGAGATACCAGGAAATACAGTCAGTGTGAGCATAGAAGAACCCTTAAGCACAAGGGTTTTTTTGTTTTTTAGTGTTCAAAATTCTGATAATTTGAAAACCAGTTCCCAGGGGCTTTGGGTTGAGGTAGTTTCGGTTTCTCGAGACAGGGTTTCTCCGGGTATCCCTGGCTGTGCCGGACTGGCTCAGTAGACCAGGCTGTTCTGGAACCCACAGAGATCTGCCTGCCTCTGCCTCCTGAGTGCTAGGATTAAAGGCTTGCACCACCACTGCCCGCCTAGGACGAGGTAGTTCCGAAAGCTTGAGTCAGACTCCAGCATGGCTGGTTGTCTCTTTGTGTTTCTGTTATATATTGCCTAGAGGGATCCTGTGATCACAATGTTTTCTTGCTAAAGAAACTAGAAGGACAAGGCCAGCTTGAGCTATAGGACAATTATCGGCTGGTGGCTGGAGTGACTTCACAACCACTTGGGGCAGGGAAGTGTAGTATGGCTGCGAGAGCAGTCTTCCCTGTTGAATTGCTGTGAACTCTTGTTCTTCCTCAGACGTGTTCTTCTCTGTACAGATCAAGGTTCATAAAGATGACTACATTTCTCCCTGAGTGTGGCTGCTCCAGGAATCTTTCATTCCTCCTGGTTCCAGATAATTTAGTGGGAAGGGATTGCCTACTCCAGAATCTGTTTTAACTCATGGGCATGTTGTTCCCACCCCAGACAGGATCTCTCTTGTAGTCCTGTCTGTCCTGGAACTCTCTGTAGAACAGGATGGCCTCGAACCCAGACTCATCTGCCCCTCTGCCTTCTGAGTGCTGGGATTAAAGGTGTGTGCCACCATACCTGGCACTTTTAACTTGCTCCTGTTCTTGGCTTTGTAATATTGATGTTCATTTGGTCTTGAACTGCAATGAGCCCTCAGCTGCCTTTCCAAAAGCTATTATTTAAAATCTCTGTATGTTAGGCCTTATTTATTCTGACTTTCCTTTGGGTCAGGGGAGAAGGCTTCTCAACAGAACAGCTCATTTAAGAAAGTTGGATTTCCAGGGCTGGAGAAATAGATCAATTGATTAAAAATATCAACAGCAACTTATGCAGGAGGACCAGAGTTCCATTGTCAGAACCCATGTAAAAATCTAAGGTGCTGGGGAGAATACAGGCATCTCCCTTGGACTCTCTGGCCAGACAGCCTGGCTGGTTTGGCCTGTTAGAAACCTTGTATTAAAAAATACCAACGTGTTTGGCTCCTAAGGAATAAACCTCAAAATGGTTCTCTGGCCTGCACACACAGGCACAGAGGTGGGTTTCTTCTTGAGTCCTGATCTCTAGCCATGTGTTTGGAGAATGGGAGTGTTCCCCTCCCCATCTCAAGCACTGTGCATCCACAGGACTGCTTCTCAGTCTGACTTTCAGGGTGTCACAGGGTCTTTGTATTGAACAGAGTTTTTGTTAACTTACAGAAGAAATTTTACCATAAAATGGGGACAGTTTGGGTGATTGTATAGAAAGATAGAATCTTTCTTCTCTTTTTTAAAACATCATTTATTTTTATTTTATGTGTCTTGGTGTTTTGCCTGCTGATGTCTGTAGTTGTCAGATCTTGGAGTTAAAGACAGTTGTGAGCTGCCATGTGGGTTCTGGGACTTGAACCTGGGTCCTCTGGAGGAGCAGTTGGTGCTCTTAACTGCTGAACCATCTCTCCAGCCCTGGAATATTTCTTTCTTATGTTTATATCTTATGTCACAGCAGCAGTGCCTCCCCTTCTCATCCCCTGCCTGTCAAGGCTCCTTGTGTTGCCTCAAAACTTGTGATGCTCCTGCCTCAGCCTTCTCAGTAAAATAATTTGGGTTATAAATTTACTTCCATGCCTGCTTCCAAAGTGATTTTTTATAATTCTGTCCAGCACAGAATGGGATGTTTGCTGTACCCACAAAAAGTAGGAAAGGTTGGGCTGTCATCCTGTGAAGGGACCAGAGCTAGTTTGGGGTTCCCATTAGATAAGAATGTACTGAGCCATAGGAGCTAGGGCTCGGGTGCTACCTGCAATGGCAGTGTACATTTAAGGCTCAGCGCTGAGGTCACTTGTTTTAGATGTTCTTCATGTTTAGCTTTGAAGAACTGCAGCCTTCTTTGTCTTTGAATTACTCTTGAGATTTCATTCAAAGCCAGGCTCAGTAGTGCACGCCTGTGATCCCAGCACCAGGGACCTAGAGGCAGGCGTATCTCTGTGAATTTGAGGCCAGCCTGGTCTACAAAGTGAATCCAGGACAGCCAAGGCTACACAGAGAAACCCTGTCTCAAAAAATAAAGAAAAGAAAAAGAAAGATTACACTTATTTATAGGTTACCTAGACCTAGCAATTAAAATTTTTATACTTGTAAGAGCAGATTGGAGGCCTAAAACTGCATGTAAAATGGGTGCTTTTTCTGCTTGTGTCTGAACTAAGTCTCTTGTCATGTTCTCCTGTTGGTAGAGTCTTGGCTGAGAATACAGGTGACCATCTGTGAATTTGACCTCATGCTGTGTGCAGGTTTTCTGGAAGGGAGTGGTTAGGAAGGAGGCCCCAAGTAGGTGGATGCTGTTACTATCCAGGACTGAGAGTAGCCGTTCCCTGGTCCCGGGCATGCTCCCAAGCACATGGGTGGTAGTTGAGAGTAAGTACAGCCCCTGGCTTGTGGCTTACAGTGATAGAAAGCCAATGTCCCGAGTCCGCTTTCCCACTATGCTAATAACATGCAAACTACAATGTTCCCTTGCGCTAGTGGAGGCTGTGGGGGCTGGCTTTGTGCTCGATGTAAGGGATCTGAGTCTTCAGTAAAGTCAGCAGCCTAACCACAGGAGCTACAAGGACTCCCTTTTTTCAGAAGGTATTTTCTGAATTGACTAGTTTTTAACCGATTGTTAGATTTTAGAATGATTCAGACTTCAAAATATCTGCCTCTCTATAGCAAGTTATCATGGGGGGAAACCAACTTAAACATGCTGTTCATTGATACTTTTTTTTTTTTTTTTTTTTTTTTTTTTGGTATGCATAGTCTGACGGTAACTGTAATTTTTCTAGTGTGCTCATGGTTGGTGGCATTTTGGCACATGAGGGGAAGTGGGGATTTTCTGCTTGGAGCATCATGTGTCCTCAGAGTTTTGAACTAGGGATGTTGACCCTGTGTCATCTTTGTTTGGGTTGCTTCTTTTAACATACAGCCTTTGACTCTGCCTCTCCTCCAAACCTGAAAGGTCTGAATGCAGCTGGTGAAGGCTTGCCTTCTGTGTTTGATGGGCACCAAGAACAGCCCTCCCCTTTGGTTTTCAAGAATTGGAAGAAAGGTTGGTTGTCAGCAGTACCTGATAACAGAACATTGCAGCACATATTTTGGTTTATTTAAGTATTCTAAATCTCAGCGAGTCAGACACAGCCAGGCCCCTTCACACTGCCTAGGCTGTAACTTGGGTCCACAGAACAGGCAGAGGCCTTGTTTCCTGCCAGTGACTAGTTGGTTCTGGAACAGTCCCTGATATTGATTGTAAAGTAGTGCTGAATATTTGCTGTACTTCTTAGCTGCCTGTGACAGGTCAGAAGTTCAGGCTATGGCTAGTTTTATTAGATTAATGGGGGAAAATTGAGGCTTTTTGGATATCCCCAGATTTTATTTACGTTATTACCATTTTGAAATTTTGATTTTAAATGTACTCAAAGATCTAAAAACATTATATTAGCTGTTAATTCATGACTTTTCATCCTACATGTGTACTTCAGTGGTGTGGTCACAGTTCAGGTTATAACAGACACTGTCTCAGACTCTTGGAAAACCTGAAGCTGAACTTTTTGAAGAAGAACGATGGTTTAAGAGTTGATTTATTTGTTTCCCCATTGGAGTCTTTTAAGATGAAGGTCAAATAAACACGTGGATGAACTCTACAAATACAGGGTCAAGTACTCGAATGGAGGGTGGAGTCACGTATAACTCCTGGTCTCTGCTGACTTCCTAAATAACTCCTTCACACTACACTAGTGTCCTTTAAATGGCATGACAGATTCTTTCAGCTAATAATGTGTAAAAACATGAACTAACAAGCATTTGAGAGGTGTGACTTGTGTCAACTGCTTGTTTCCAAACAGAAAGGGTTGGCAGGTTAGTCTTGACCTCACCTGGCAGAAGTCAAGGTGACAGTGACAGGCTTGTTTCCTATCTTGAAAGTGGGTAGAAATGGGAAATGGCAGAGACTTAACCCTTCCCATGCCCAGGTTCCCCTCCACACCATCATTCCTTGAGTGTGGCCACCAAGGCTCCAGCCCAGAGCAGTCTCACTCAGAGCCGGTCACTAGGGAGGGGGGCGTTGCAGCCTCACTGTTGTGTCTGTGTTGAGCATCTAGGTTTCTGCTTTTCAGGACACTAAGGCTTGGGCACATCTTCATTTCTCAGCAAAGTGAATTCTGCGTATTTTTTATGTTTCATAGAATTCAATTCGCCACAATCTCTCTCTGAACCGTTATTTCATCAAAGTGCCACGTTCCCAGGAAGAACCAGGCAAAGGCTCCTTCTGGAGGATAGACCCCGCCTCCGAGAGCAAGCTGGTAGAGCAGGCTTTTAGGAAGAGACGGCCTAGGGGAGTGCCTTGCTTTAGAACCCCCCTGGGACCGCTCTCCTCTAGGTAAGGACACAGGAACCAGAGACCACACACGGTCAGTAATTTCACCTCAGCATGTTCACAGATGCCCTTATTGGTATTGGGTGGGAAACTGGGGAAAGGTTGGTTTCCTCCTGCTGTGTGTTCCACCAGTGCTGCTTGCTGTTTCCTTGAACTTGATGCCCATCTTAGTGTAATTAGACTCTAGTAGGCAAGGTCACAGAGTCATATGATAGTTTTCCTTTCTTTTGGCATGTGAATAATTCTTTAAATTGATCTTCAGTTCTGTAAACTCAAGATTTCTCATTTGCCTGATTTTAAAACCAGACACTACCTTCATTATCAGTGTTTTTAACCTAAAAGAAATGAGCTTGCTAGAAACCTCAGACCCCATGCTGATTCCTGCTGGCTGGCTGCAGAGAAATGCTCAGGGAGGGTGCCAGCTCTTTCAAGAACTGAGCAACCTCTGACATGATCTGCTTGAGCTGCACTGGGTCTCCAGCTCAGTCTGTGCGTGAAGATGTGAATAGAGTTCAGACGCACAGAAGTGCACTCAGTTGGCAGGAGACAGAAGGCTCCCTTTACAGAGATTAAATGGACAAGTCCTTCCTCGGGCATCACTGTGAAAACCTGCTGTCTTCTTTTGTGGCCCAGGAGTGCCCCAGCTTCTCCCAACCATGCAGGAGTGCTGTCTGCTCACTCCAGTGGCGCCCAGACCCCCGAGAGCCTGTCGAGGGAAGGCTCCCCAGCCCCCTTGGAGCCTGAGCCTGGCGCCTCACAGCCCAAACTTGCCGTCATCCAGGAGGCGCGGTTTGCCCAGAGTGCACCAGGTGAGACCCCACGAGAGAGGTGGCAGGGGGCAGACATGATGCCTGCATTTGGCACTGAAGCAGTGGTAAAGCCCTCAGGAAGCTTTGTACCTGGTGCCTGGCACTTTGTGTAGTGTCTGAGTGTTGTGTGGAAGGTTTTGGCAGGGTTTTTGTTTTTTTAATTAGCGTTCAGGTGTGATAGTGTGTGACTGTAATAGTATCCACAAGAGTGAGGCAAGGATTGTTGTGAGGTTAAGGCCAGCCTGACATACATAGTGAAACCCTGTTTTTAAAAACAAAACTAAGGGGCTGGAGCGATGGTTCAGAGGTCAAGAGCACTGGCTGCTCTGCCAGAGGTACTGAGTTCATTTCCCAGCAACCACATGGTGGCTCACAACCATCTATAATGAGATTGGATGCCGTTTTCTGGTGAGCAGGTGTACATGCAGACAGAACACTGTATACATAATAAATAAATCTTTAAAAAAAAAACTAAAAAGAATCAGTATTTTTTAATTTTCATTAAAAAAAAAAAAAGCCCCTTTCCCCATCAAAAGAAGTTAGACAGACTAGATACTGATTGGAACAAAAATGTATCCATTTAGTGAGTAGAGGAATATTTCCAGTTTAGTTGCAAAGTCATAATGTAGAATAAAATAATGCCTGGGTAAGGTTGGAAGATACACATTTTGATGATTAGGCAGGGTGGCCCAGGGAAGCCCTTCCCATCCACCTGTCTGTGGCTGCTGCCGTTCACCTGCTGAAAGCCAGAAGGCATGAGCGTTGTGCCTCTGTCCCACCAGGATGAAAGTATGGGTCCTAGGTGCAGGTGGCACGTGTCTTTAGGCCCTCCCTCGTACGGGACATACTCTTGAAGGGGGAACCATGGAAAGGAGCATTGTGAGACATCAGAACACAACAGTTTGCAGGTTTAAGTAACTAGATACGGAAACTAAATATCCTGTGTACGACACTACATTCTGAGCTGAAGAGATGGCTCAGCGGTTGAGCATGTCCCCTGCTCTTGAAGTGGCCCTGGGTTCCGGTTTGGTGCCTAGTACCCACATTGTGGCTCATAGCTTTCTGTAGCTCCCGTTTTAGAGGATTTGATGCTGTCTTCTAACCTTAATGGGCACCAGGTATACATATGGTGTGCAGACACAAAGGCAAGCAAAGCACTCAAACATGTAACAAAAAATAAATCTTGAAAAATTTTAATAAAAAGATACTACATGTGTCTCACTAGTAATGTTCTGAATTTTAAGTCTGGAGTCATGTTGGTAAGAGCTTAGTGTGAGAACGGTAAGACCAAGAGCCGTGCAAGCCTCAACACTGCTCGTGTCGTCTCCCAACAGGGTCACCTCTCTCCAGTCAGCCCGTCTTGATTACTGTCCAGCGGCAGCTACCCCCGGCCATTAAGCCTGTCACCTACACTGTTGCAGCCCCTGTGACCACGTCCACCTCCCAGCCACCTGTTGTGCAGACGGTCCATGTTGTCCATCAGATACCAGCAGTATCCGTCACTAGCGTGGCTGGCCTGGCTCCAGCAAACACATACACAGTCGCTGGGCAAGCTGTGGTCACTCAGGCTGCAGTGCTAGCTCCTCCTAAGGCAGAACCACAAGAGAATGGCGACCACAGAGAAGTGAAAGGTGAGCATGAAAAAGCATCTCCTTTTAGCTTTCATTCAAACCTTCAGGATCATATGTCCTGGCTGTTCTGACGCTCCTTAGGGGTTGGTTTGTTTGCTTCGGTATTTCTTGTTGTTGCTGTAGTTCTTGCTTCTTCACTGCCTTTTTTGGGGTGGCATGCTAGAAATTGAGCCTGAGTCCACATACATCCTGTATCACTATGCCACACCTCTAGCCCACTTTTTCTTGATTTAAAAATGTTTACTCTTGTTTTTAAATTATGTTTGTGTGTGCTGTCATGTGTATGCATGACAGTGTCTTCAGGTGCCCTTGTAGGTAATAGATGTAGATCTTCTTGGAACTAGAGGTATTGACCAACATGGGTTCTGGGAATCAAACCAGGCCCTCTGTGAAAGCAATAGGTTCCCTTAACCACTGAGCCATCTCTTCATTCCATTACTTGGCTTTAAACAGTTTTGCAATAGTACGTGTCAAACCCAGAGCCTTGTACATGCCAGACAAATGTTCTCTACTGAGCTATGTCCCCAGCTCTTCTGCTTTTATCTATCTATCTATCTATCTATCTATCTATCTATCTATCTATCTAT